TTATACTGACTAGGTAGGAGCAGTAAGGTGCCTGAATTGCAGGTATTGAAGAATGAAATATGGTCCCCTAGTTACATTATGAGGTCAGTGTTTCAAAATGTAATCATAGGATCAGAGGGCAAGAAGAACCCCAGTGGCTCTCTGACAATATTGGAATATGTTCAGACAAGGAAGGTAGAGTGTAAAATTGTATATATGATGTGATTACAACCATGTGAAAGTAATTTATGTATATGGACTAGGATGGGAAGAGAACTTGGAAAACTGTATTTATTCATGTGAAGGGATAATAGGTTATTACATTTTCATGTTATATTTATACAATAATTTTTTTTCTTAAAAATAAGATTAACATTCCTTTTTCTAATATGTGAAAGTAAGATATGAATCCTAACATGAGTGCTGATTTTGAGAGGGATGTAAAATACCAGTGCTAGGATGAGGGGCACCTATCAACACTTCACTACTGCCTTCTGCAGCTTTAGTGATGCATGCAAAAAGTTGCCTAAGAAAAATAAGGTGCAGAAAGTGACAAATTTAGTTATAGGACACACAAGGCAGGAGAGACAGGACATACATTGTGAATGCCACCCTTCAGCACAGTCACATCTTAATTTTATTTTGATTTGGAAACAATCTCAACTACTGAAAATTTGCAAACACACCAAGAAGGGTTCTTCTTTTTTATTCCTGAATGATTTGAAAGGTAGCTGGCAAACCAATGCCCTGTCACCCCTGGGTACTTTAGTGCCCATTTCCTACACACAAGGACTTCCTCCTTCACAATTGCAATACAACTGACAAAATCAGGGAAATGGCATTCATACATCACTGTCATCTGCTCTTCAAAGGACACTGAAGTTTCACTGTTGCCTTGACAATGTCCCTTAATAGCAAAAGCACCTGGTTCAGAACCATACATTGCATTTACTTGTCATGTGGCTTCAGTCTCCTTCAATCTGGAACAGTTCCTCAGTCCCTACTTGACTTTCATGACCTAGATGCTTTTAAAGATTATAGGGTAGTTATTTTGTAAAATACTTCTCAACACTTTGGCAAAAGTATCACAGAAGTGATGCTGCCCTCTGGTTGCACCCTGTCAGTGGTACGTAATCTCTATGTATCTCTTCACTAGTGAGGTTAGCTTTCATGCCTCGATTATGGTGGTGTCTTACTCCTGTTTCTTTTAATAATTAGCAAGTATTTGTTGGGGGGAGAGGTTTTGAAACTATGTAAATACTCCATTTCACATCACACTATTTATTATTTATTCATTTCAGAGTAGATTCATGGTTCCTGACTCAGTGAGTGGGTTACAATCCTCAGTATATCCTTAGAGAAGGAGACCAAGAGCTACATAGTCTCTTGAAATCTTTTCTGTGTAGTATTTTAACCAGGTGTATGGAGATCCTACTCCTACTGCCTTGAATTATGAAAATACCCATCCTGACTTCATTTCTTCTTATCTTGTAAATTAGTCTCCAAAAGAGAGATGGGGAAGGATGAGCAACAAGGAGAACTGGAATGATCCTTTATTCATTCCAACATCTGACAAGGGTTAGTGAGGGCCCCCGCGGACCAGGCGCTCAGTGAGGCTGTGACCTCAGCACGCCTGCTTCCAGCCCAGGTTGGGCCCGGGGGAGGCAGCACCCGCCCCTACTGCCCTGCGGCCGCCTTCCCAGCGCTGTTCACTTCCACTTCTCTCCGAAGACGGGGTGTTTATAAACCAAACATCGGTGTTTTCATATGGAGTCGAATTCAGGAGTCAAGTTAGGGTCATGATCTTAACTTCTACACGCCAGGTATGCCACCCTGGCAAATGGTGAACACAGCAGAGCCGTCCTTGTCATTACCGCACTACTGCTCCTAACCCTTCCTCCTCCGTTGTTTTAAGAGCAACACCATCCCCTGGGCCTCATTTTCAACATTCTAGTAGAGGTTGATTCACAGCAGCATCTTTACTTCATCGTGCCTCATGCCTTCCCCTCTTCTTCCTCTCCTCTCACTCCCTCCACGGGCCGCCTCTGTCCACTCAGCTCTCTCGCATCACCTTGTTCTTTGTCACTCTCCACTGCCCTTTGTGCCGGGTCTCCCTCCCCTCTGCCTTCCCTGCCTTCCCTCTGGCAGGCATCTCATCTTAGGGCCTCTCTTTTCTCTCCATTCTGATCTCATGGCCTGACCTTTGCACTTTTTGCTCCAATTGTACTGTTGGCTTAAGGGTTTGGAGATAAAGCTATACCTTGCTAATCTGAGTTGAATAACTTTTTTAAAAAGTTTTATTTTTTATTTTTTTAAGTACATGGAAAGGAAGTCTTTGGCTTAGATAAATCTAGGTTTAAGCATTCATTTACAATTTGCATATTACTGGACAGTTAAAATCATTGCTGCCAAGTCTTATTAACTATTTATATACAAGTATTGTTTCTAAGGCTAGTATTTCTTTTGTTATTTATGGAGTACGCTTTTTCCTTAGGTAGCATTGAAATAGAATATTTACATAGTCCTAAAACATCTCCCCCCACAAATACTTGCTAATTATTAAAAGAAACAGGAGTAAGACACCACCATAACCGAGGCATCAAAGCTAACCTCACTAGTGAAGAGATGCATAGAGATTATGTTCCACTGACAGGGTGCAACCAGAGGACAGCATCACTTCTGTGATATTCTTGCCAATGTATTGAGAAATATTTTGGCAACTAACTCTCAAATTATTCAGGAAAAAGAGAAGAATCCTTCTTGGTGTACTTGGTGTAGCTGAGATTGTTTCCAAGTCAAAATAAAATTAAAATAAGATGTGACTGTGCTGAAGGGTGGCATTCGCAGTGTATGTCCTGTCTCTCCTGCTGCCTTCCCTCTGTGCCTTGTGTGTCCTATAACTAAACTTGCCGCTTTCTACACCTTATTTTTCCAAGACAACTTTTTGCATGCATCACTAAGGCCACGAAAGGCAGTGGTGGAGTTTTGTTGTGTGTCCCTCATCTTGGCCCTGGTATTTTCACATGCCTCTCAAAATCTTTCTTCCCCATAGTATTAGAAAACTTATTTTGAATCAATTTCGCCACTAGAGGTCAGCAGTGTACCGTCTCAAAGACAAGGCATACAGGTGACAAAGTCCTTAAGCAGTTCCCAGTGCCCTTAAATGGTATTCGTGGCATCTTTCAGTTTGTTCTGAATATCTCCTGACAGTTGTCAGACGTGTTATGAGGTAACATGAGTGGTCACTCTAGGTGATGTTCCGCATGTGCCTGGTGCTCTGGAAGGGTGAAGAGCCACGACTGTAACCATGGGGAAAACTACTCACTGGGATGTGACGAGAGGCAGTAAGATGATTTGATAGACAGTACTGTGAGCTCTGAAGTGAAAAGACACCGTGGAAATCCGGTGTCATCCTCTAACGCAGCTCAGACATGTCTGCTTTCTATGAGATAGAAAAAGGGAGGACCCCGAACAGAACATCCATTCATTCGACCAATATTTAGGTGCATACATGTACTTGGCAATGAGGCTACGTGAATGAAGATCAGTTGGTGCCCCAAGGAATTTAAAGAATCAGGCATTTATGAAATCCTAGTGGGCTAACTTCCTACCTAGTAACTAGTGCAAAACCTCAGGTCCTGACACAGCCTGACAGAAGAATTCTCCCAAGCTGATTATTTTTAGTATAAGTGGTTACCAGGGAAACAGAAAACTTTGAGGACTATGCTTGTGTACTGAAAGTAAGAAAGGCCATGAGCAGCCAGCATTTTAGAGCCTTGTTAGCAACTCATGTGCATTCTTTCATGGAATATTAGTTATCACCGTAACGAGTTCCTGTGCCCTTCAAAGAATCGCTTTGTCTTATTAAAACAGAAACCTCTTTATGCTCTGAGAGCCCAATGATTAGTCTTGATTTTAAAGCAGATTACTTTAGAATAATTTCGTGGAAGATGTAGCCAGCTGAAATGATTGATAATGGCAGATTCATATATAGAGAATCAGAGAAACCCAAAATCATAGGAGCTGGAATGGAGTGGCTCAAAGATAACTCCCTCAGGAAAGCTTCCAGAACCATGGCAGGCCTGCTGCTGAGGGCGTGATGGTGAAAAACAGCCAGACATCCAAGGCTCACTCTTACATATGGGGATCCACCAAATGTAACTCATTGGTGTTGTTACTTGATAAATTCCTCAGTGTTATTTTGTACAATATTAGAGAAGCAGAATGAACTCTATTCCAATCCCTCATTTGAGGAAACAAGGGTCTACAGTAAAGTGATTCATTCTCCACAGGCTTATGGTCAATTTCAAATATTTGGATACTCTACACTAGCTCATAATAAAGACTAAAATAAATTTTCTAACTAACAAACATACAAAGAATTGAGTGAACAAATATGCATGGAGTCAGAATTGGAACCCAGGTTTCCTCATTTTCAAACCAATGCTTGTCACACTTTTGATAGATCAGGGTTTCCCAAACCAGTCATTTGCATACCAATGTCAAAATTTTTGCCACATTAAATTAGCCATTTGATTAATATCATTTTTGAACTTGGCTTTGTTCTAGGCAACAGTATCTACAAGTTGAGAGTAGTTGCATTCATATATTTTATTACAATAAAATATGTAACTATTGTAACTATTTTTAAAAGCTCATCTTGTACAATCAGAGGCATACAGTTTGGGAAGCACTGATTAGATAAGACTTTGTCTAGAGGAAAATCAGCATCAAGACTGTATAATCATTCCTAATTATTTTCATTTTTGTCACACAAAGTTCAAAGCTTGATTCCATGGAGGTCTTAATGTCCTTCTGAATTCTCATTTGAGAAACTCTAAAAATACACTGGTAATTCAATTTTATTTACTGAACAAATTAAAATAACTGATAAATTAGCCAACTATTGGTTATTACCAGGAGATCATAATCCTGAGAAAAGTACCCAGTAGCAGTATGGTATACTATTAAGTGTAGTTTTGAAATCAAGTTTCAGCAAGCAGAATATATTCTTCACTCACCAAATTCGGGAACACACTCACTCTCCAATGAATTCAGTAACCTTTCAAGGGAAAAAAATAAGTAAAAAGGAAAATGTGAGTTCTTATTTAGGAATGAGATGAAACACATTTTGCAAATTGATGAGCTTAAAGTATCAGGGAACACACCTGGTTGCACTTGAAAGTTTATCAAAATGCATCCATTTAGCATATTTCACTTTAAAATATCCACAGTATGTTTAGAGCCCTCTAATTAAGACAAGTTCAAAGTTTTTATAAGCATGATGAGAGCATGGCAGACTGCAAGATCAAAATGCTCTGGAAGTTCCCTATTTTGTTATTATCATTTCTTCCTCACATAACTCATTGCTTTGTAACAACAGTTTTTAGTTTGGAGTTCCCCATTCTCTCTGAAAAATATTTTAAATTTCTGCTTTTATTTAGATGGTTTGACATTAACATAGGCATATTCCAAGATCACATGAATGTTCATCATAATAATTTATTTCTATGCATTTTCAGTGGTTTCTATTTGAACTTGTACGTTTTCCTAATTCAAAAACAGAAAGCTTTTAGTGCCTATTTTTAAACCAGTTTTTATTGAAAAAATATAATACAAATATGGAACGCTGTCTAAAATAAATATATAGTTTAATGAATGCTCCCTTCATGACTAGTTTGCAAAAATAATTTCAACTCCCTTTTTATATTCACTTACTGTTCCTTTTTTGTTATTTCAAGGGCAGATCTTAAGTATCAGCAACACCGTTTTATCCAATTTGCAACATTTTGCCAATGTTCTATTGCTCTCTAATTATGATTATCTTTTTGTATGTTATCTTTCTTAGATAGTTTGTCTTAGACTTTCTTTAAAGTTTAAATGATCTAGCAAGATACATGTTTGGTTTTGGGAGTTTTAAAAAGGTGAATGTGCTAATATATCCCTATTCTACTTTATAGCAATTATTTTCTTGCATCCTTTAAATGGATTTTATAATCCAAGGATGCACTGAACAAAAACCATAGGATTCTTGTCTGTTTAAAAGACGTATGTGTTTTTAAGAGTCTTTT